TTATGAATGACTTTCTGACTGCCTTGGATGATGTCTGTCTCTCTCTCTGATGAATTCACAAATCCACTGCCTTTTATAACTGTCATGTGGCCCTCACAGAAGTCTTACAGTTCCACTGTTATTTCATCCATTGCCACAAATTTGCTTATCAGAACATTCGCCACTAAGCAATCGAATTTCTGTGTTGAATGCATTACCTCAGGAATGTGTTCACCTAGGAATGGGTTTTTCTGTCTCCATAGCTTAATGCTTTGACCAAATCTGTCACAATATGTTTGCTGGAGCAGACGCAGTGTGTGGACTGAAGAAGAAATTTATCACTTGTTAGGTCACACGAAACAGAGCTCTCTCAAAAGTGCATTTGTATCCTTTTCATGTACAACTGATACAAGGGCTATAGCAAGGGGATGGTGGTCTTCAGCTGCAGTTCTGTTGTCGGCTTCTTGTGCTGCTGTGCACTGTAGACAAGGAGTGGAATTGTCAGTTTGCATGATCTGCATTAATGGCAATGAAGAATCTTCATGCTACTCAGTGCTCTCCATTTCAACAAAGATTTAACATCAGCATTTGGGGTTCAATTGCTGGTTAATCTGTGTGGGATTTGTGGTGGACCAACTGGAACTGTGACACATTTCTTCTCCAGTACATATCTTTTCACCAGCAAGTTCTCAGTCATTGCTCTGCCAGTGCTCTGTTCTCATATGTGAGGGGATAGTACAGTAGTCCCATTTCTAGCCCTAGTGTGAAGGGACTCGGTCTCATCCCATATCTATAACTGTCATTTGTGTAGAAGTTTTCCCTTTGCTTAATTAAGTACCACACCATGAAAATGTATGGGAGAGTGCATATGTAGCTTCAGACATTCGTAACTCATTGCGGACTGGCGATTTAAATATTTAAATCAACCTGTGGCCGCCATTATTAAACCTACTATCCTAACTTGTGCACTGTTCACTTTAAAAATTAATATAAAATCTAATTAATTTTATGAACTAAAATTTTTGGAGAACACTTACCAATGCTCCTAGAAGTGCTTGAGGGTGTGATATTTCTGGAAACATTCCCCTTTGTGAAGTGGCATTACACAGAACTTGCAAAAGTAGACATACTCCTCTTTTTGTGAACTGTGCAAACACGGCATTGCCTAGAAGGATTCTTCCCCTTGGAATGTTCACTCTTCACAATTTTCACGAAGGTATATTTCTGCATATCACCTGAGAGTCGCCCTGGGGGTCCACATGAGGCCTGTGTGGGGTGGGAGTTGATGGGCCAGGTCGCACTAAGTCTGCGTCTGACTCTGGTTCTGCTGCCACCATCTGGTCTGTAGCCCGGGCCTTTGTCACATTTACCAGAAATGCTTTATATTTCTGTTTTGAATGAGGGTTTAGATTTTGTGATTTTTTTAGAATTGTTATTGTCCCCGCAATATTATTACCTGCATTATCATCGGAGCTACTGTCACTTTCACTGTCTGTGGCCGCAATTCATTGTGATCACAGTGAGTCAGTCAGTCAGTGTTATGCCATCGAGTGTTATAGAAGTTTCTTTCTATTGTGCTCTGTTCTGTGTCTTTATCTCTCATGTGAAATACGATGTAGAACAAAGAGTTTTCATTTATGGTTGTTATGTAAGAAGAAAACTCATACAAATTGTGCAGGAGTACATTTCACTGTATATTTTCTGACAATACATGTCCATCTGGAGATACAATTTCCAAATTAGTGAAGAAAGTTTGAAGCAACTGCATTTTAATTGACAGAAAGCTGTTAAAAAGAAATCATGTTTCCACTTGATGACATTTGTCATTGATTAGAAAATGCCCCTGAAAAATATATTTGACAATTAGCACGACAAAGTGGTGTTTCTATAGGCAGTGCATAGACAGCAACTAAACTATTGCATATTTGTCCATATAAAATCACTGTTGCTTCTGAAAGTAAACCTATGGATTATGAAAAAAGAGTGAGGTTTTATAATTGGTTTATCAACCATGTGCATGACAGACCTATTGATCCTAAGCTGACATTTTTCACAGATGAGGCTAATTTTAATCTCTCAGGATATGTTAATTCACAAAACAATAGGTACTCTTTATCTGTACAGCCCTTACGTTACCTCACGTTGCTGGTCACCACTTCTCTGAAACCATTCTTCCTCTCACCTATTGGCGTGGCAGATTTGCAGGTTGCTGCTGCGTCCATCTTATCCACCTCCTCTTCCCTTTGTTGTTATTGAGAATGTCGGTTGGTTACTGGGGTATGGGTTATCGTGAAGGATGGGTGCCAGTAAGCTCGTTATAAAGACTTACTCTTAGGGACAAAAGGGGGGATGAGCCAGAAGCTACAGGTGACAGGTACTAGTTTAGCTCTAGGGCAATGAGATTCAATCACAGGGGAACTCAGGCCTCGAGTTGGCAGGGAGACAAGAGTGACTTATGCTAGGCACTACACCAGTGTTTAATGAGCACTTTCAATACTTCACTTAATCAAATTGGTTCTTAATAACTTACACCAAAGTTGGAATTACACTAGTTTTGCGGCCGGATCTTTTGAGAGTTGTCAAGCGACTGTTCCAGTACCACATTTCAAAATGTTTTTACTTTGCTTTAATTTAAACTTTTGAACCAAACTTGAAGTGACTAATTTTTTGGCTGTATCCTTGAAGAGTTATTCAGCAGACTGACTGCTGTGAGACAAGAAGTCTTCACAGCTTCAGCTCCGCCTCCAAGTTACTACCCTAATTTCAGCTGATTGGAACAGTTTGAATTTAGGGAGTTTACTCCAATTCTCACTGCTCCAATCATCATCTTGTTTCAAGGGACTCTCATCCTTCATGAACTAACGTCATTTTTGACAGCAGCTTGAAAAATTATACCAGTAGCATATGTTGCGGGCCTTCCAAATTTGAATTACAAGGTTCAAAACCTGTCAAGTGTAACTTTACCACAGGATCCCACCTGTCAACTTTCGAACTGAATTTCCAGAGAAAACGTTATGGAGTGCTTCCTGCCTTGTCTTTATAGAAGCGAAGCAGGCCCTATTCTTGAAACCAAGAGTCGGGGTAAGTCACCTTTCAGTGTTCCTTCATGATGCAGTTACAACTCTAGTAGTGAAAATCCTCATGCCCTAATGCAACTTCCACTTTACGACCAAAATATGGGCATATGGTGTATGATTAGTCAAACTATATCATTGGACTGATATTTATGAAGGAATTCTTGATGCTTAATGAAACATTAATGAAATACTCCAGTTTTCATTAATTTGGCACCAGCAGAGGAAATATTTGGCTATTTTATGCAAGACAGCGAAACTCCACACATTACTGAAGAAACTATCCTAACATTATGCAGTGTGTTTCGAGAATTAATGGGGAGAATAGAATTATTAGCAAGGGTTTGTTGGCCCCCTAGATCCCCAGATCTAAACCCTTGTGATTTTTATTTATGGGAAAAAACTGAAAAATATTGTGTATGCCAACAATCCACATGACCTGAAGGCTCTAGAACAGAACATTCATGAAGCACTTTACAACATTCAGCAACGTTAATTGCAGCAAGTTTCCCGTAATTCGTTTAAAAGAATTCAGACAAGTCTCACAACAGAGGCAGACATTTTGAACATCTATGATGGTGAGTCTACTATTGTACCAGTGCACAAGAAGGGTGAAGAAACTGACTGTAGTTATTATTGGGGGATATCACGGCTATCAACTTCATGTAAAATTTTGTCCAATATACTTTTTTTCAAGGTTAAGTCCATATATAGATGAAATTATTGGGGATCATCAGTGTGGGTTTCGACATAACAGATCAACTACAGATCAGATCTTTTGCATTCATCAGATATTGGAGAAAAAATGGGAGTACGATGAGACAGTACATCAGCTATTCATAAACTTCAAGAAAGTGTATGATTCAGTTAGGAGGGAAGTATTGTACAATATTCTGATAAGAGTTTGAGATACCCATGAAACTAGTTAGATTGATTAAAATGTGTTTAAACGAAACTTATAGTAAAGTCAATGTAAGTAAATATTTGTCTGATAAATTTCCTGTCCAGAATGGTCTAAAACAAGGAGATGCTCTATCGCCACTCCTTTTCAACTTTGCCTTAGAATGTGCAATTAGGAAGGTCCAGGGAAACCAGGTGGGACTGAAATTAAATGGGACACATCAGCTGTTGGTCTACGCTGATGATGTGAATCTAGTGGGTGATAATGTAGATACCATAAAGAAAAACACACAAACTTTAGTTGACGCAAGGAAAGAGGTTGGTCTAGAAGTAAACGCAGAGAAATCTAAGTATATGTTACTGTCTCGTCACCAAAATGCAGGGCAAAATCATGACATAAAGATAGGAAACAGATGTTTTGAAAATGTTGCACAGTTCAGATATTTGTCCAAAAACATAAAAATTAGAATATACAAAACTATAATTTTGCCTGTGGTTCTGTATGGGTGTGAAACTTGGTCTCTGACATTAAGGGAGGAACATAGACTGAGGGTGTTTGAGAACAGGGTGTTGAGGAGAAGAGAGATGAAGTGACAGGAGGTTTGAGAAAACTGCATAATGAGGAGCTTCATAACTTCTACTCTTCTCCAAGTATAAAGAATGATCAAGTCAAGGAGGATGAGGTGGGCAGGGCATGTAGCACGATTGGGGGAGACGAGGAATGTGTATAGGATATTGGTGGGAAAGCCAGAAGGAAAGAGACCACTTTGAAGACCAAGTCATAGGTGGGTGCACAATATGAAAATGGATCTTAGAGAGATGGGATGGGGTAGTATGGATTGGATAGATCTGGCTCAGGATAGGGACCAGTGGAGGGCTCTTGTGAACACGGTAATGAACCTTCGGGTTCCATAAAATGCTGGGAAATTGTTGAGTAGCTGCAGAATTGGTGGCTCCTCCAGAAGGGCTCAGCTCCATGAGTAAGTAGTGGTGGTGAGTACAAAATTAATTACCATATTCTATTAATAATTAATGAAAGAAGTAAACTAGCAGTTCCAGTCATGCGGTTGCATTTTTCTCGGCAGGTGGCCCATCACTTTCGCAAGAAGTTGCTGACGGTGGAATCAGTGTCCAATCAGCCTGTCCTCTGAACACGGTGTACATACTTGTATAGTAACTTACTGCTTCAGAAGGTTAAGCTAACTTTTTCTAGACTTACAAGTGAAGTCACCAATAATAAGCTGTGTTTTAATGACTTCTGTATGTGATATGTTTATTTAATATTTATGTTTCCAGGTGGCTTCGTGATATGTTCAAGTTAGGATATAGAGAAGACTTGGAAATAAAAGACTTGTATGATGAACTTCAGGAACATAGATCAGACTTCCTAGGAAACAAATTAGAGAAGTGAGTAATGTTTATCATGTCACTGTGAATGCAGATCAGTATTCAGTGTATCCTTCAACTTTATGATGTTCAGACTATGTTCAAGAAGGAAATACATCCTGCTGTGTCTGTGTGCTCGAATGTGTGTGTATCTCTGAGTGAATTAACCGGTTTGTGTGAAACCAGAATAGTCACAACATGCCAACACTAGTCATGCAGACTTCTGAGGTGGAAGTAACACACTGCTGTTTCAAGCAGGAAACTCTGTGATACACTCTGTGACAATAGAAATCGCACAGTCATAAGTTTTGTTATTGCCATTTGTTTCTAAAGGGAACGCAGGATTCATACAAAATGAACTTTTTACATGAAGAATATGATTTTCTGGGTTGTAACACCATGTAATTCAGAGGAACATATGGACTCTTTCTCAAGGATCAAAGAATAAGCCAAGCAAAAAGACCAGGAGAAGCATGAACGAAGCCTCTGAACAGCCCAGAACACTGTACTCTTCATAGCCATTACTGTGAGGACTGCAAATTCAACTTTATACTTTCTTATTGACTTTATGGTGAAGATGTAGGGCTTTAGTGGGCAGAATTATAAAGTCTGGCTAGATGAGAGATTATGAACATGTGCAGTTGAAGGTGACAACTTCAAAAGTGCAGGATACTGGGAGTTTGTATTTGATGTGATTAACATTGAGTTCTGTGTTGAAAACAGCCTTCCTTAACCCACTCCCCTGTGTCGTTGCTGTGACCATTCATTATTGTAAGCTTTGGGTTGATAAAAGCCTGAACCGCCACTGCACTCTTCCCACAGGACCAGACTTGTTCAGTGAATGTTCCTGTATCCAGAACTTGACAGCAAACAGCAAACTGTAGCTTGTTCCAGGAAGGCTATAGTTGCCAATAAAAATTCAATGAAGATGCCTTATATGAGTTCTGGTTTCCCACACTCAATTAATGTTATATGTTCTCAAGGCCAGGAGAAGCAGTTTTTAAATTTCTCTGTATATACTGTAACGTGTTTGCGTTACTGAAGACGCCGTAGAGATGGTTAATTGGTTTATTTAACAATCTACAAATAACGGCTACAATTACTTATCTCACAGTTGCGGGGTTTCACACTTTAAAACCCTAATCGCATTAATCTGTTAACACTGTTGCGGGGTTTCACGACTTATAACCCTATGCGCAAATCAGTTCACTCTGTCTTCAGTAGTAACACGTTGACAGTAGGGGAGCTTTGTATCACTGTATCACACGCTCCCAATTACACAATCGCACACACGTCCGGATCTTCTTACCGCGACGGCTGCTATACTCCAACTTGTAGTCGGCTGGCTGTTACTTTATAACTCGGAATGTCTTCGGCGGTAGCCACACTGGAACTCGAACT